TACAAATGCATATGTACATTCATTTACTCTCATATGGAATTTTCGTTGGTTTATATATTATACATATGTTTAGTCAAATATTTATTTATATAAACTTTTATGTACATATGTAAGTGTGTTTTAAATATATATAATTAATTCTTTTATAATTTCCAGTTCTTATATGAATTCGTGAACTAAATATAAGACATATTAATTCTTTAATACAATGCATCAAACATAGAATTAATCATAGTATTTTAGTATATATTTATAGTTTAAATTATATCTTGTCTAAAAAGTAAAATGTTATATATATAAAACATTCTAAAATAAATAATTATACAGCTACATTAGATATTTAAGTTTATATTATACTAGACTGAAGTGAAATAGCATGAATGGTTAAAAAATAATAGATTTTATTCTATATTAAAGATTATTTAAAATATAAACCATAATTTTATATAATTGACATAATGTAATTTAAAAAAAACATTTATATTTTATAATTGTAATATAATAAAATAATGTAGGGACTAAATACAATTTAATATTTGCATATCTCTACGGGGTGCTGCATGTTATGTACGTACTTGTATATGTAACATCTTATTTTACCATATAGCAAGCGAATAAATATGATTTAATTTAATTGATACTTTTAAAAGTTATACAAATAATAATTACAATAAAAGTGTAAATATAATGTATTCATTGTATATAATTTAAATGTATTATGTCAATTTAGTAATATAATTTGATTTGATTTGATACTTTTAAAAGTTATATAAATAATAATTACAATAAAAGTGTAAATAAAATGTATTTGTTATGTATAATTTCGATTTATTGTCTGTTTCTCTTTCGAATAACTAGTTTTTTTAAATGATCAAACTATTATATATATAATTATGTAATTGAGCAATAAAATTGCGTGTTTATATTAAGTTGTAGTGTAATAAGTAATTAGAGAGTTTTAAAAGTTATTTTTTTTATGAATAAAACTAAATATGACCTCCGTACTAGGTCAATTACGGAGCCAATTAACTAAAGAGACGTAATGTGAAACATAACCTAACCAACTATGTCCTGGCTGTACATTTCTTTCTATGCCACATTCATAGTTCGATATGGAACTTCTCCATTAAAAATAATGCGAATTTTTAGTTACAATAAACTTTTTCGTTATAATTTAAAAAAAAAGCAAAGATGGTAGGCAAAAGTTAGATATTTCTTGAATTTAACAAATAGATCTATATTAGGTACAAATTCGTTTTAAGCGCTAGATATGTTAGTATGCGTGAATACTGTATAATATGAATGTAAAAGTGAGTTTGTTTGTTTGTTACCTTATAGCGTCGTAACGGTTTATAAATACTATGAAATTTGGTATATACGTAGTATGTGGGACGAAGAAGGATATAGATTAATTGAATCCACTCAGTAACGAAGTCACGGGTAAAAGCTAGTCAGTATATAAAATACGAGTATGTCAAGAGATAAATGAGGATATAGTTTACTCGCGTAACAGATTACATTTGAATTTGTTCAGTTAAACAGCTAAATAGAGTTATTTAGTGTTAAAGTATAATTTATTGTTAACTCTATATAGCAACCTTAACTTTGTTTATGGTATGAAAAAAAAAAAAACTACTGGTGTGTCAATGACAGAACTAAAAAAGGTTTTTTTTTTTATTTCTCTTATCCATCGTTAATAATCTATTTAGTTCACTTGTAATAACAATAATAATAATGACATTTAGGAACAAACATACAAATAACTTTACAAAGTTTCACAATCATGACGTTTGTAGGATTAATAGAATGATTAGAAACTAGATAGATCGATTCTTTAGGATCTGAGACGTAATAATATAATATGTGACCATTCTTGTCTATTTCTAGCATATAGAAAGAGGAGACCAAGAGAATATATCGCAGTAAAACAGTGTAAGAGAAGAAAAACTTCAAATAAAAAAGATCGCCTCGTCAACGTCAAAAATACAGGTCAAAATCTACTTCTTATGGGTAGAGTCCGAGTTCAGTGGAATATCAATGAGTTTTAAACTTATAAATCCAATATTTTTTATTTGTATATATGTCGAAAAATTTTGATAACTTATTCAAAATATGGGTAAACTTGATTCTGAAAAAAAAAAAGTAGTTTTTACGAGTTGCCTGTAATGCAGCGTATTGTTTTTGTTAATGGTACTACCATTAACTTGTTAGTATTTTAAATAGTTTAACTACGTGCTAATAAGAACATAAGATTACACTATAGATAATTTTTTTTTTGCAAAACTGTCGATAGAAATCACTTGTGTATACTTAGAATAATAAATTTTAAATCAAATTAATATGAAATCACTGAAAAATGTTAATAATCAATGTGCAAAACATATTAGATCCGACAGTTCGTTCCGATCGCGTATTGATAGTATCATTAATAATATTCACGAAATAATATTACATATATAATACTGTAATATGTTGTAAAAAAATCATCGAGCCGGTCACAATAGCGCGTTGTCCTAAAATGAGGTTATCCGAATCGGTCTAACACATATTTTTTGTGCAAATAATTTTATCATCATGCCACGACCTTGCTCCCAGCTATCGCCAAATTTTGCTAGTCCTAAACGCCACGTATGATAAACTAGGTAGTCTAGAATTACTCACCCGATTAATAACGTTTTATTAAACAAAAAAAAAAGATATAAAAATCCTCCGCCGTATGTCACACTGCACAGCACTTCACTTAAAATTAATTAAAAAAAACAAAAGTTCCGCCAGCCAGTGTATAGTCCATGTGAGTCGCGTAAGTGCAATATCTGGTATTGTTTGTGTGTGGGTCGCGTAATGCACATCGCGCGCTCGCCGGCGATCGCCGACTGGCGGCGCGCACGCAAGATTCGCTTCGCGCGCCCCCCCAAAAAAATATGCCGCGAAAAATATGGCGGGAGGATATACGCAAAAACTGAAGGGGTGCGCTCGTTTCTCGCGCTGTGAGGCTGTATGCTAATCCATCGTGTGCTCGGGCCCTTTTTTCCGGGGTGGGGGGTGGGGATGCAATTAAAAAGCCGCGCGTGCGTGTGGGGGCGCGATTAGAAAGGAGACGGCGGACGGAATGAGTCTGTCACCGTTTTTTACTTTTTTCTAGTCTGGTGTACGTTTGTAGGGAGATGAGGGGAATCGATGGTCTGTCGTCTGATGCTATGTTGCTAATAATCCTATAATCTTATGTATATACATTCAACATTAAATGCGACTAAGATTTACTGGAAATTTAAAATTTTAATATCTCCTTTTATCTGAATTTTAAACTTGAGATTCATATTTATTTGAAATTATTCTTATAAAAAAAATAATCGTTATACGCAGATGAAATTTGGAAATGTTTATAATTAAAACGCAGAATAATAAAACATAATAAATTACAAGTATCAAGCAAATGAGTATAATTAATTCAATTTTTATTAAACAGCGTTGGAAATGACGCAAATGTACCTATTTGATATCATCATCTTGATATCATTGCGCTATTCACGCGATCTAATTTATTATTTGTTACGCAACAGTTGATAAAAATAAAGTTAAATAAATAGTTGTCTCATAAAATATTGACAAGTAGAATACAAAAAAAAATCTTATATTTCACGCGCCGAAACGTATTCAATAACTGCGTAGGTTTTAAAGAGACTGGCGAGATACCTATCTGTTTGTAAAAAAAAGTGTAAAAAGAAATAATAATGTTCCCGCCAAAAATATCAACTATCTATGCCAAGGTACAATACAGAGAACAGACAATACGTCTAGTTTGGCTGTTTGGGGTGCGTGCAACGTACACGGTGCTGCTCTGCAGACGAGAGCTCAGTGCTCGCGACAATTTGCGAGCTCGACTCCTGCAGCTCCGCTACGCGTAACGGCGTATGTCAATATGCGTTCGAAACTGCGAACGGGTTTTATGAATTCGAAATTTAAAAATTTAATTCTATTCTATGTATCCGCAATTGGGTTGTTTTTTTTTTTATAATTCTAACACTAAGTAAGTAAGTTTTAAAAGCTTAATTAATACTTTTTTCTTGGAAGGTTAATAAATAATTGTAACGAACTCTCTATAAATTAATTATAATTATTTATTAATTAGTTATTATACATTAATTAATTATAATTACTTAATAACTTAATTATTAAGAAAGACTTTTATTTTGTCAAAAAAATACTGTTATAAATTTTATACAAACTTGAATTTGATTATCTAAAAATTAACAACTCAAAAAAGTTTTTAAACAATTTCCTTTAAACTTCAATATCGAGATTTTCATAATAACTACGTATTCAACTATTTTGCATTTCAATAAACTATTGTAAATATATAAAAAAAAAAATAAAAACGAACAGGATTTGCACAAAAGCTAATTAAAAATACAAATCGAGCTACGGGTCAACGGTCGTGCAATGCAACTATTACTACTTTTAAATAATTATTTATGCAAGTTATCTAATGGCGAGCTCCGAGATGTGCTGCAAGACACCTAGCTCGTGCACCGGGCATCGTCCGCACTGCCCAGTACGTTTTTATATTAGCATTATAATAGATAAACTTCGAAGGGGCTATTTATTTGACAGTGAGAAGTTAAAAATCATTTCAAGGCGATATATCTGACAAATTGTGTTTATGCTAATTTCGATTTAATAAGTATAAATATGAAATCACAAAGGAAAAAGTTTAAATTGTTAAAATCATTAATGTAGGGTTTACTTCCGGATGGGTTACGATATTATTTTGTTTGTACTCAAACCGTGAGAAATCTGAATTTAAAACTATTATATTATACTGTGAGAAGTTTTATTAAAGAGACGATTTATTTGTGTACATAAATGAGTTTAATTAGTTGTATTAAATACTCTATCGATGTAAAAGTTACAGTAAAAAACGTGGAAAATTGGAAAAGTTAAACAAACTACATATGCAAAATATATTAATATTAATAGAGAGATATAAATAAATTTCTTACCTTTGCGGGCCCCAAAAATCACTTTAAAAATGTTACTCAACAAAAACAATCAACAAAACATCAACAAAGTCACTAGGAGTCAATGTCTGGCAACAAAACAACGCGCGAAAAAACCAGGCCGAGAACGCGTATAACAAAATTTGCACTAATAAAAATAATGGATTTGAATAAAATAAATGGAATCGGATTTTTGAACGTGGAACGTAGTGGCGCGCGACTGTCCGGCCAATCCGTCACGCGACTAGTCCGATGTCCACACACGCACGTGAGAAACTTTAGTCGAAGTTCGTCCGAAAACTTTCCCCGCACGCGTCCCAATAGTTCGGCTGCCGACGCGCTCTATTCCAAACTTGAAATTTTTCGACCGAACCCGGATGCCGAATTTAATTGCGGTTGATGTTAATTTTTATAATTTTTTTTTAATTTGTGTGTGTGTTTTTTTTTTCAGAGGCGTCCACCCGTCCGGTCGGGTCCGGTCGGTCTGCAATATTAACACGAGCCGCGTCCACCTTTTGTAATGAAACGTTCACACATGCTTCCGCATTACCGTCCCGATGCCATCAATAATGAAGCCGGGCGGGAAAAAACAAAACGGGGCACCTCTCCCGACGAGGCGCCCGCCGACACTACAGCCTCCTCGTCAAAGATCAGAATTGCATATCTGGGTTGCGTTAATGAGCGGGGGGGTGGGGGTCGTGGGGGGTCGAAAAAGTGGCACCGCTCGCGCGCGAATATAAATTCATCGCCAAAAAATCATTACGCGGGGGGTGGTATTACGGGCGCTCGCTGCGCGGGTTCGCTCGTATAGTTTTTAAATCGGGCGCTCATTCGGTGGCGCGGCGTCGCGACGGGCGGCGGCCGCGCCACTACTGCACCGCCGCCGCCGCCGCCGCCGCTACCGCCGCCCTGCACCTGCATTATGAGCCGCAACTATCACGCATGCACCTTACGCTTACACTCCAAACTTCCCAAGATGCTACACCGAATCACTGAATCGAACCGATCACGCTCACTTTCCGCGCTCCCCGTACGGAATTCTGTCGACTCGTTAAAGTGACTTGAAAGAGTACAAATCGGCAGAAAATTAATGCGTCCTGCCGCTGGAGATGGATTGATTTTTTAAAAAGAAAAAAAAAACGAACTGTACCTACCACGTGTATGCAAATTTCTCTTTTCGACGACGATCGTAATCAATTTGTGCGTAGGAAGTGGGTACACTTCCGCACGCACACGCGTCCCGCCGCGTACGCACACAAGTGCGCAACGTGCGACTCAAATTAAATCTAATACAAAATTGCGTTTTATGTTCATGCTAGTGCGTGTAGGTGTGTGTAGGGGCGCACAATGCGAACTCGCGTCACGTACACTCCACCGGGTTATTTAGAATTAGAAAAAATAAATATATAGGTATTAATTAGAATAATAATTAGAATAATTTTTAATTAAATTAATCTAATTAAACACATTTATATGGGGATGATAGGAGAGGGGACATTTACTATATACATGATAGTATATACACTCCACCTAGAGTCAGAAAAACTTAAAACTTTAAGAAAAAAACTTAGTTAAATTTAACACTGCTAACATCAGTTTCCATCATCATCATCATCATCATCATCACATCAACCGTTATTCATTCACTAACGAACGTAGGCTTCCCCCATAGACTGCCTCAAGAAACGGTCTTGAGCCACCAATGGATACACCATTGGCTTTCTGCAATGAATTTTTGGTTATCACTCCATCTAGTAGGGGGGATGGGGGAATTATTCTAAACCACGTTTGCCTATACAAGGTGGTCGCCATTTAAGAACCTTTTTTCCCCCATTAATTGTCGGTTCTTCGAGCACGTGACCAGCCCATCGCCATCGCCAACTTTTCATATTCATCGTTAAAAGACACCATTTACAACGGTTTTTCAATACAAGTTGCCAGTAACTATCCAATGCTGAACATAAGCCTTTCATTAGGGGAGATTTGCTAGTAGTTGCCACTCTTGGCAGGCGGGGTGGCAACCACAGCATAGGTGTTATCGAGTGAGCCCTATGCTCGTTTGTCGTCTTAGTAGTATTAAGAATTTCCCTATAATTTCTGTTCTCTAAGGAACCTTTAAGTATCAAGTTTTAATTAAGTCCACCTTTTGTACCATACTTTCTTTTGGACGATAAAGTTATTTAAATAAATAAATAAATAATACAATATCAAAAATAATAAAGAAACACTCAAAATGAGGAGTACTTCCTTTTCGAAGTCAGTTATAAATATAAAGTCGGCAAACAAATTAATGGTCAACATACAATTCATACAATAAGGAAATCAAGCATCATACAATCATGTAATAAGGCACCGCTAGATCTATTAGTTGCACTGATTTCTGCATCTAACTGTACTTTAAAAACCCACACAAGCTTAATGTTAAAAATGAATTACCAACACAACCCCGCCGTCTCCCTACTACACTCATTTTCATTTCGATGTTTTTGGGTTTTTGCGCAGATGGGGGGCACCCCCCTCCAGGGGGTGGGGGGCCACCACCCTCGCCCTATGAAAATAGGATATATTTTTATGTTTTATTTGCCCGGAAGCCTGTAGCTTAGTTGCATGTTTATTAGAACTTTTTATTAGTAGAAACAATACGGTTCGGGTTTTTTTTCTGCGTTTTCCGGGTTATGCCGCTTCGCCGCATCGGCACAGAATGATTTGCGACGACATCTCTATAGGCCGCAGTCACGATATGTTTGTTTTTGATAAGGCATAGTTTTAGGTTTATTGGTTTTGTAATGTTGAATTATCATTTGTTATTTTGTCTCGAAAAATATACAGTCAATAACTTCTATATTCCGTTTCTTACTTTAATTTTTCCTTCTGTTTCCTGTTTTCTTACAGTAATAAATGTATCACGACTTTAACGCTTGGTAATTACATCTCCTATTAACAGCATTAATATAAAATACGTATGAAATAAAAAAAAAATTCTCTCGCCATTTATGAAGAACTGATAACAATTTATAACTAGGCTGTATAGGCCATGCTCTTTGCCTATCTATTTTAGGCGAATTTTAAAACAACAACAACAAATGTATAATGGTAAATAGAAATATAAAAATATTAATAGCTAGCGACCTGCCCCGAGTTCGCACGGGTGCGATGCTGATACTAAATAGCGTCGCCGGCCCCTCATTACATTACGATATCACATTGGAAACCTCTAAAATTATCAGTGTTCCTCAACTATATTCTGCATGTATTATATATACAAAGCTTCACTCATAATGTGACGTGATTATAGTGAATAAACTTCACTATAAAACTTGGCCAAACAATCTCAGTTTATATTAACAAATTGTCTCATTTTTCAATTTTCCTCGAACAACATGCAGATTGTTGGCAATTAATTTGCAATATTTCTTAATTTAATCAGTAAGTACATTTTTTTTTTATTTTTTATTATTTTATACAACTTAGATGGCAAAAGAACTGACGGCCCACCTCATGGAAAGTGGTAACCGTCGCCTATAAACATGAGCAGTACCATGGACATAACAGAGTATACTGTTTCGCCCATGATACCGCCCACGCGTTGCCATTCCTGAGGACTCAGGTGTTATTTCTCCGTACCCAGTAAATTCACGCCATATCCCACACTTCAAACCGAAACACAGTCATGCAAACACAACTGTTTTATAGTATATTTAATTATTATTTTAATTATTATATATTAGAACTAAACAATTATTGAATAAGTTTCAAACAATCTGAAAGTAAGGTTTTTTTAGATAAAAATAAATGACAGAGTTTTGAGGTTATAAAATAAAAAAAAAATGCAATCGAATTTAGAACCTCATCTTTTCTTAGAAGTCGATTGATAACAGTTTAAAATGAATTCAATTCTTAAAATCAATTGTTTTATCGAATAAAGTGAATAAACGCAAAGTTTCAGTGTACTGTCCCGCGCCATTTTATAACGCTTGAACTGTAAGGGGTTAGAAGTCAGCAGAGCACCTTATAAATACCTTTATAAGACTTCAAACATATATATTACTTATTTTAATCTATACTTATATTGTAATAAAGAAAAATTTTACTGTTCGATTGTTTGTAATTGATAAAGTCAAAAATTACTTAAAAGTTTTTAAAAGTTCTTCCACCTATTGAAAGCTGCATTACCAATGAGTAAAACAGACTATTTATTATTATTGATTAGCTTGATTATAAAATTCTATCTACCCGCGTATTCGGCTTATGGTCCCGGCATAGAATGGGCTACCCCTTCCTTTCCCGTGGATGTTGTAAGAGGCGACTAAGGAAGGGCGAGGGATGGGCAGTAGCGTCCCTCTTAAAATATCACTGGAAGCTTAATTGTGGTTGTTAACTCGCCTGCCAAGCGTAGCAACTACTGGAAAAACTCCCCTTATGGGGAAGGCTTATGTCCAGCAGTGGACAGTTTACGGTTGAAATAGTAAAAAAAAATCCTACCCTCGTCAACTCAAGCCGAATGGCTAGTTTTAAATAAAAGTGTTCATAACTTCAAAGTCATATTTGGCAATTTTCGAAAAATAGTTTAACAATTTTCAATGTTCCTAATTATTCAAAAGCTATCGGTATTTCCGATTGTAAAGACAATTTATTTATTTATTTTTAACTATAACATTTAAGTCGATTGGTACACACGTGTGACTGTAACTACTAATGAACTGTCAGTTTTCTCATATTGGGTTTGTTGGAAGAAATCTCCATTGGAGATAAGCTCGCCTTTGTGCACTATTACGTTTGTTTTTACATTTCAATAACCTTTTGTGTACAACAATGAAGTTAATGCCAAATTACCTGAAATTGATATAGTGTATGATAATTCGAATTCCTACAGGAATAAATTGCTGAAGCACTTTGTACAACAATCTTATGAAAATTAACTCTAATTGTCATAATTTATATTTTTTTAATATTTTTTTTAATTCAATTCACTCTTAATCGTATTTTCTGATTTTGCTCACAACTTAGGTTACATGTTTATTTTTATTATTTACTTCATTTTCTCGCACTATATAACTATGTTAAAGTGAATGCTGTGAATACCTATAATAGGCATGTGCATTAATATTGTATTATATTTAATGTTTGTTATATGTGTCTGTTATAATGCAATATGCTGTTGGTGTTCCTTAAATAAATAAATAAATAAAGAATAAAGAATCTGCTCGTGGAATGGGCGACCGGAAGATGACTCGGGTTGCCCAATCGAAGACATCGTTGTGTTCCATATTATAGGGAGTCCAACCCGAGCCACCACGCCGCCACCAGTCACTAATCTGGACAATACAATGTAGCAGTGGACAGTTAATGACAGATATGATGATGATGATGATGATTATTTTGTTAAGAAATAATTATAATGTTTCCATTCTTAATATGATAATATCTGATTGATAGTCTGATTTGTGTATTATATTAAAATTAAATTTGCTACATATTTTATCTCTTGATTAGATTATTTATTTATTACATATATATATATATATATATATAAATGATTCATTACCACAATAGCGCACGATACAATTCTATTTTGCTACGTCGTAGAGAAAGCGTAGTTAGACGTAGTCAAATCTGTAGACGCTTGT